TACAACACTCGGGATGATTCAGAAAAAGGTGCAGGGCACATGACTAGGAAATAAAATGTGGAATCTCAGCTCAGTGAGAATCCACGAGGAGTGATCACAACCAAGAATTTCACCCAACACATCAGTCCTGCTCATGGAGGAATGAAGAGGCTTTTGGATGTAATTTCTAGGATTTTGGGATGACCTGAATCAGCTAAGTACAAAGGGTTAAAAATAACTATTTAGGTAAGAAAGGAAGAAATATGTATTAATATCTTTAATGAGCCATAGGTCTCCTGAAGATAAAATTTAAGAGCTTAACATTCCAGTGTCACTGAATTTCCTTTTGGCGGAACATGAAACTGTGGCTAGGCAGTTGGAGAAGAAAACACAATCTTGCTTCCTTTCCATATTCATGATAATACTTGTCATAATAATTTAGTTTTGTTTCAGTAACAGGAATGTTGGTGTTTTTCCATTTCCCCGATGCATTTCCATTTTCACACTTCCCCTTCTAATATTAAATATATTGGAAACGGTGCCAAAATATTCAACAACATTGAAAAAGCAGAGGAGAAATAAAATTACTGTCGCAGATTTCATATCACTCCTTTTCCTAAATTAATAAATATTTCATTTTCTTATCTAGAGAAGCAGCAATGAACTTCCACTCCCAAATATGAGAATCTGACAAGTTAAACTTAAAAACACGGTTTAGCAAATAGACTATCCTGAAAATGACACCATGACTATTACAAGCAGCAATCATTCCCACAAGAAAGAAGAACAATTAGATTTTTGTCACATGATGCTACCATTAAAATGTCTCCAGAGTGAAAGATTTAACAGATAATTTCAGGTCACTTTGCCAATGAAATCACAGGGAGATTGGAACTCTGGGTGACTGATTCTAGATAGAGGTGTGGCAGATCCACACTCCTAATCATGATTAGGGTTTTCCCCCCCCCTTCCTGTTCCAAAACTCACATTCTCATCTCTGCTGCTGTATAGCAAAGACCATAGTGACACTTGCTGGTGCAGCAAGGAGTCTGAAACAAAATGCCAAAGGAAGCAGAGCCAACCGCAGTTAGTTTTTTTATTCATATCTTCCCTTGGGGAAAAATGCTCTGAGGATTCTGTTTCCCGCTTGGCAGACCAGGAGATGTACAACACTGAGGGGCAATTATTCTGCTCCTGATCTCACTGAACCAGCAGCCTTGGCTATCACAGGAGCAGTGTGCCACTCTGTTAAACTTAGTTGAGCCAATCTTCTCCTTTCTTCCCCTTTTTTTAAAAGATATCTGAAGAAAAAAAGTACTCCAATACCTACTCCCTCCCTTTGCTCTCCACCTCCCTTACTGGTCTCCTTAAATGCCCCCTGTACTTCTTAAATACCTCTGGGTTGCAATAATCTCTCCTTTCAAGGAGAAGGGATTGGAGAAGTGTCTCTCCCTGTGCCTGGTATTTATGGAGCACCTCAGTCCTGCTTTCAGAAGAGCAGTGCCTGGCACTGATCCTGCAAGGAGAGCCAGAACCTCAGGATGTGCTTCCAGCCATGGGAGCTCGAGCAGTGCCTTGGACTCCTTGTCCCCTCCACTGCAAAGGGCAGTAGGAGACATGGATCTGATTTATTTGAGGGAGGGACAAGTGGTTCTGCAGTCATATTACAAGCTAGAGATACTCCAAGGGGTTATAACCCCTTACAGCCTCTTCCCTCCAATCCACATCCAAAATAGGAGTGAAATCTCTCTTTAAGAGAGGTTCTAGTGCATGTTCACTTAGCTGAGGAGGCTTATTGGACCCTCAGCTCTCTCACTTGATACTTGGAAACTAAAGGAGATTTTCCCTGCAGGCTGTGACAACAGGAACAACGAAAAACCTCCAAATGAACAGCAAAGCAGCACTTCTGCCATTTGCTGATTACACTCACAGACAATTCTCCTTCACAGGTAACTGAATATGTCAGATGGTGATTTCATTAATTTTTTGTCCTGATAAAGGCAGTGTGGTTGCTCTCACCTCAGGTTGAATTCACTGTTACTGCAGAGGCACCTGGAAGCACCTGACCTCCCAGGTTCTTAATATTTAGGGTGTAAAAGGCTGAGAGAAAAAAAAAAAAGAAGCAAGGTACAGCAAGTACACGGGGGTCAGCTTGGATTTACACCTTGTTCCCATCACAAAAAGAACTTTAGAGAAAATTTCGGTTTTAGTCCTCAGTTGTTCAACATCTTCCAAAGGAGAAAGTCTTTTACTTCCCTTTCTACTTATTTTCTTATGACCTTTCCACATTTTTAACCTGTTCTAAGGAGCCAGGAGTGCCATTCCCAACCATACAGTTTTTCATAGGTGACAGAGAGGGGAAATAAAGGGCTGCACCTCCTCCTCTACAGCACATTTCAGCAACATCTACAGCACGTTATGTGATTCCACTGAATGAGATTTTCTGCTTGCTCCTTGCCCTTTCATTCCTCTCCTATTGTCCACAAATCACATTTTCCTCTCAATGTCTCCATTTCATCATTTACCTTGTCCATTTAGACTGAAAGTATCTCAAAACAGAGCTTTCTCTTAGACATCCCAAGTTACATACAATAGTATTGGGGAATTCTGGGAAAGATAGAGGTATTTCCAACCCTCAGGTCCTTCCAGCAGTGGAGTAACTCCCCCTACATGTTTTTACAACTCAGTAAGCCAAGTTGTGTCAATAACTTGGTTTGGTTTGGTTTCAAACTTCCCTGCCTGAACAGATACACTGCAAAAATCCATCACTCTCCCCATTAAAAAATGTCCTGGCAAGGCCTTAACCAGTTTTAAAATATTCAGATTCATCTGGACAAAACAGTAAAAAGTTGTTTAAAAACATGAACAAATACATAAATCTGGTTCTTATCAAAACTTTCAAAATGAAAATGATTTGTCTTGATGAACCTTTTAGCTGAGGCTATTTGACAAACTCAGCATGAATGAATAAACTGTGTCCATCAAAGGCAATGTGAATTTACGCTGAAAAGGTTCCATCCTGAGATTACTGACCAGTCTCAGCTGTGACACTTGTACTATGGATCAATCCTCATTTTTGATTTGGTAACCAGACAACATTTGGGTCTTTAGTCACTCAGTCTTGCCTTGGCACAAACAACTGGTGTGTGCTGAGCAGAGGGTGGAGTGATCCCTCTGTTAACTTTGCTTTGCTTTCCTACAGCTCAGGCACTGTTTGACTTCCATCCCTGGAGTAATTAGGAATCTGCTGGTCTCCTATATGAACTCACCCCTCTCCTTTCAAGCTTCCATGTACATTGAAGAAGATCCTTTTGGAGAGAGCTTGGATAGTTTCTTAGGAAGCAAAATACACAGTTTTGAAGCGTATGGAGTCAGTGTGTGTGTGACAAGGCACAGCAAACCCCAGTCACTGCTCCAGGATCTGCAGGATTGAGGGGGCTGCCAGGGCTGATCCCTCTGCCAGCTCTGTGGTCACTCAGCTCACACTTTGTGCTGCTCCAAAGGAGTCTAGTGCACCAAACAAATTCCAGCTAGAACAAATGGCAGGATGCAATGGAGCCAGGCCACTGCAGCTGAGGCACAAACATTCCCAAACAAAGCCAAGAGCCCCCGTCATGAACAGTGTTCCCATTTGTACCAGAGAAGATTTTAAAGTACAACAAGAGACCATATCAAAAGGTTATATATTGCAAAGAAATTCGGAATTCGGAAGTAGGTTACAATCAGAAGTTTTTGAAAAAATACTGGAGAATCCCTAGTGGTATTCTTTCATGGATGTTCAGAGGGGAAAATGATTACATCTTCTATCAAGGAACTAGAAAAAGGGAAAATAAATACAGGGGATAACACGGGTCAAAAATATTATCTTCAAGGCTACTAGAACTAGGATGGGGGGAAAAATTCCTCTTGAGCAGTTGGAGGCTCTGGTATTATCCATTTTTAAGCTACTTGGTCTGCAAGTGAATATACTATTAAAACTCCCCAACTTTGTGGCAATGTTAAAATATTTCAGCTGGGAAAACTCATAATATCCCAAGAGCAGGAGCAAGTGTTAGTCCTAAATTCCTCTACAAAAGAAACATAGAGTTGCAGACTTAAATAACTGCATGCAATGAAAGAAGGAGAAAAAATGATACTTCACAAAAAAAACCCCAACAAACCAGGCTGCAGATACTACCATTTTTCTTCTGGGAAAAGCATAAAATAAAGAAAGCCTGAGCTGCTGCTTAGGTGGTACTTCAGAAATGCAAGTGGAGTCCCAGTAGAATTTCTCAAGTTGCTGTCAATTTATTCCAAAGAAATACAACTTAGCAAAAGCCATCAACACAACAAGCTGCTATTCAAACACTCCAGTGTTTTTATCTCACTGCTTTAAACACAATCCTAAGGAGAATCTCTGTTTGCTGTGGTTCAGGATGACTGATCTTGACTCTTTTTTAAACAATTGAACGTGGATAGACACAATATTGTGTAAAGTCTTACTGCACAGTGTCCTTGCACGGGGCACTCCAGCCTGGCAACCAAATTCTGGAAACTGCTGCTTCTCCAGGTCTGAAGCACTGGCCCTGACTTACCCATGAACATCCATTTATAAAACAAAAATGTGTTTCTGGCACCTTTTGAAGCCTAAAGCACTTACATCCCAGGTCTTAGAGGCACGTAATTCTGCTTGGAAGCATGATTTGTATTTTTTTTAAGGATCATACGGTCTTGTAGGGGCAAGTGTTAGAGGGAAGTGGCCTGTGTCCATTATCTTTGGTCTGTAAGTTCATCACAACTGGCACCTGAACCAGAAGCTTAAAGATGGCAGCACCTGAAAACATTGGCACCACAGGGAGCCCTGCAGGTGCTGTAGCAGGATCTGCTCGTTCCACTGCATGATGCCAGGGGGCTGCTGAGCTGTGACATCCTGATACAGCAGCAGGACTTGTAACAGAGGAAAAGTGTCCCTTTCCACCACAGGGGCAGATTAAGAAGTAAATGCTTAAAAACAAAGGAGAGAAAGCAGCTTTATAACTCACCAGAAGGAGATCTCTCCTTGCTTCCCTCTCTCGCTGCCAGAGATGAGATCTATCACCATTGCTCTTGCTCAGGAGAATGAGACATTCAAGAAGGCATCTGAAGCCTGGAAAATGAAGAAACTCATGAGAGCAAGAAATTAATGGAGAACAAAATGCCTGTGTTGGGGTTAGCAGGCCTTTTCCTTTCCATATGGGACATACAGGATATAGGGAATCTCTCTCCCTTTAAGTCTATAATTATGGCTGTATTTTCATTCATGGTCCCACCAAAAACACTGAAGCCCAAAGCCTTAGGATGGATACAGTCTGTAGTCCTTTCCCACTTGTAATACTTAGAAATACAGACTTCTAGCAAAACCAGAAAAGGAACCTTTCCTTGCAAAATACTTATGAGAAAGACAAACATTGATCTTGGGATTACATATTAGGGAATTTAGAACAAATTATGTTCTCAATATGATGACACTGAGGTTGCAGAGAGCATGAATAGAGGTGAATTTGATGTTAAGAGTTTAAATAATTTGCTCGAGGACACAATGCAGTTCACTGTGTGCCCTGAGATTAGAAGCCAGGAGCTATTAAATTCTTTCTCTTGTTCCCAGACTGCTAGACTAGGGGATAAAGCTCCCTGCAGAGAGGAATATTTAAAGAAAAAAAAAAAAAGAATGAAGAAGAAGACTTATTCACTCAGTACAAGCCCTAGAGTAAAACCACACATGTAATATCACCAGTGCTTCTCTGTCCCTCAGGTATATTCTCCTCAACCTCCTCTGACTGAGAGAAGTAGAAGAAATGGCAGTTTCCCAAGAGCCATCTGCCCAAAACTGAGGGTTATGCCTTCTGGGGCTTGGGAGAAGGGGACTTAAGGGTGGCTCTACAATCCTAAATATGAGAAATAACTTCACTCCCTGCACCTGAGACATTCTAGTGAGCAGTCAGCAGCTGGTGTTAGACCCCCTGAGAGCTTGACAAAGGCAACAGCAAAAAAGGGTTCTTCTTTCCAGTCATTAGATGGAACACAGAAAACAGGCCACCACATCCTACAGTGCTCCAGCCTCCCACATGCCAGGGATGGGAGGAGGAAGACTGTGACACCTTCCAGGCTCGTCCTTTATTAATACATTGAGCTGTCAACACTTCGGAGCAAATACTCTCAAGATTTTCCCCAGCCTTTGAATGCATCGTGAGTTGATGTTGTAATGCTCTCCTTCTCCTGTTTTTGAAGAGCTTTCTGCGAGTTCCACGGACACCAGGAAAGGACTCGCTGTCCCCCAGCACCCTCAGGATGGCCACTTGTCCTGCCTTCCCTGTGCCTTCCCACTGCTCCAGTGCTCACGTGAAACGTTCTGCCTCTAACACCCTCCCCCAAGCACCAGGGATCCAAAGGGATTCACTTTGGGGCAGATGCTTTGCGATGAGATGGACACCCCAAACGCAGCCCAAGGGAAGGAAGAAACAACAGTAAATCCCATCTGGAGCTGCCTTTCCTCCATGCAGCCCAGTAGCACCAAGAATATCACCAACAGAGCAGTGACTGCCCCAGGGAGGAGCACCAGTGTGCCAGGAATTGGCCTTGTTTACATGGATTAAGAGACCAGTATTTCTTATCATGCCGAAATTCTACCTTAACATGAAACCTTTCAGAATGAGGACAAGCTTTTTACTATATTTGAGCAATTCTTACTCATCCACAGTGCAAGTTTGGCCATTTACTGGGTCCTCACTATACTACAGTGCAATAAAATAAAGTATTGATTATTCATTCAGTTTTCTCATAATTATATTCCCCAATGCTTGAACACTGGCAACTGCAAATGACAGATGTGTGAGAGCACTAAAACATAAATACAAATAAAATTTGAGATTAAATCAGCAAGTGTAAGATGGCAACACATTTCAGGACTAGGCTGATCAATGATTGTGAATGGGAGGAGGTTTTATTCAGGCTATAATACTAAATATCCTTCCACACCTCTCAACACCTGCCATTCTTTACCACAACACCTCTTACTACAGCACCTGATTACTCTGGAGATCTTCTTGGTCAGATTTGTGCAGAACTAAAGAGAGATGTTGCATTAGATCCTCTGCTCCTGGAGTGAGGATCCAGGAACACCTGTAGTTTGTCTCTTTTCAAACAACAGGGTTGATCTGCCCTGTTGTGAGTTGAGCATTTCACTTGCTCCCACCAGCAGTCTGGAAATCAGACTGGATGGACTCACAGTTTGTTTGGTGTGTTAATGCCCAGAGTCCTACAAAAACCCCACAATTTTCTCTTTCAAATGGGCTTTCTGAGGAATTATTAGGCTCGTGTGTATTCATTAAATAAGCCCATGATCAAGTTAATGTTATTATTAGCTTTTTACCACGCAAACACAGTCCAAATAAAACTGGGATTTACAATGGTATGATCCCATTGACTCTCACCTGGTCATTTATTCTGCCATAAAATGACAATAAAAACCACTGACTGGGCTTGGAGCTTGTCTATCTTTCTAATAAAGCATTGGCCTCAGTTCTTTGGATTATTTTTTGTTTTTTTTCTGACAAATGAGGAACAGCTGATCAACAAATGTATTGCTCTTTTTACAGCAGACTCTTTTCTTTTTTCCATACTGTAGTGATTAAGAACAGAACACCCAAAGTCTGTCAAAATAAAATTTCTTTGGAACAAAGCCACAAAAAGATAAAATGAAGTTGTCACTGAAAATTAATTAATACAAAGCAGTGATTGGTAGGAGGAATAAATACTTAGACCTAAAAATACCAGTGCAACAGCGTGCTGAAAGGTTATTTTTAGTCCTACATCTAACAAGAATATCTCAGTATGTTTAATAATAGCAAATTGGATCTCCAGGGCAAGATATTGAGAAAAATTGTTTACAGCAAGCACTTCCAGATCTCAAAAAACTACCTTAAAAGATTTTTAAGTTGTTATTAAGCTTTGCCTGGCTTTTTAAAGAAACGGCTTTAAAATATTTTTTCCATTATATACTTTCATTATTTGTTATAACAAGTGAGGTTTCTGTGTAACCAAAAATCATTACAGCACGGGCACTTTCAATGTCTGAGTCTCCACAAAAGCCAGTTTTCTGGAATGTAAGTGTGAAACCAGCACAAACACAAATTGTTTCTCATCTAAGGAAAAGAATGTATTTTGAAATTAATTCAGAGTCCAATTAAAAATCTTTCATCTTTCTTTTGTAATAAATAGCTCCTTAAGAGCAACGAGATGGCAAGAATTAAATCTTCTGGGCTGCTTTTAAAAATCTATATCCAATTCTTGAAAATCTATATCCAATTCTAAATACATTAGACCACTGGAGCCTCGTCCTGGCTTAACCAGACAGAGGCAAAAATCTCATCTGCTGAGCTATAAGAGCTTTTAACTTTCTCTCTTTGGGAATTGGATGAAGCTGGATATACTTTCAAGGTTCTTAATATATCTTTTGGATATATTAAGGTAACAAACCTAAAGCTGTCCCCAGTGAAGTTCCCCCCTCTGCAAGAACTGCGTGTTCATGTCCTCTGAGAACTTGCAAAATGGAGAGAAAAAGCATCTCTGTGCCTCTAAATAAATACACATGAATTCTTCCAACTGTATCCCAAGGGTGAGGGATGTCACTCCAACCCAGTGTGACTTGGGGACTGAACCCAAGGCCTTTGAGTGGTTTTGTTCCACAGCCTTGTGTTGGTTACACACTGTAGTGGTTTGGTTTAGGCCTTTTCCTGGCAACATATTAAATATAGATATTGCACAAGACTAGTAGGAGTGATGAGATACAGCCCTCAAAATATTATCTAACAACCCTATATATGTGATAAGTCTGAGATTTTCCTAAGAAGCCTCTTTTCCTAAGAGGAATATTTATATTATTGATCCAATACAGTGAAGGAAAATGATCATAAGATGCCTTGCATGTCTTCCAAAAACTGGAATCAGATCCTATAGCTGTCCTTCAACAAGGAAACAAAATATTTTGGCCCTTTTACTGATGGCACAGAGAAATGAAATGAGCTACATTTCATATGATATGCCAGACATTCCCCCTGGTCAAAGGAAGATTTCAAAGCCAATTTATCAGAAGATGGACAAACTGAATGAAATAGCCTAATGTTTGCAATATGTAGATAAACACCATTTAAATTTGATTGACATCCTAGGAATTCTGGGGTTTTTTTGGTTGCTGTACTTCAATAACAGATATTTGGAGTACAGTCCCATGAAAAAATATTTTCTTCTCAGCACTTGCCCTCGTGTTTCAGAGTCAGTGGTTGAACTGGTCAATATTTTTTGGATTTGAGGGCAAATCCAGCTTTTACTCTGGACATTTTCTGAGAAAGAATTCACTGACCATGTGTAAGAGGGCAAGTTAGTGAAAAATAGAGTGGGACTGGTTGAAGGAAGAGACAGAGAGCCATGGATTGTGAGGTCCCTCCAAGCTACTCAAATTACTGCACAGTTGCAGAGGACTGTTCCATTCAGGAGCACAAAACCTCCCCAGAAGGCTTCTGCAGTCTCTCCTCACTCCTACATCTGCAAACTGCAATGCCAGAGTGAAGCACTGGGTCATTTCTGAGCTGATTTTTAGCTCCAGCAGCTGTCACTGCATCGAACTGTTATGTGGGAATAATAAGTTCAGTGTCCTTTCTGCTGGAGATGTAGTGCCTTCTTGGAAAAGGTGAAAGATGGGAAGATACAGAGGGAAATGGTATACTTAATAAAAGTTTTGGATGTGTCATTTTTGCTTACCAAAGAAAATTGGATAGAAAAAACCCTGGATCCTTAATGGATTGTTCAAATGCTCATTAGCATCAATCAGATTTATTTGAACAGATAATTACCCCCATATTGTGCTTTCATCACTGAGATTGTTTATGTTAAACTGTCAAGCAGCCATTTCCAAATTTTACTCCTTGATGTGTTGAAGCTCCTTTTACAGCCAGGAAAACAAAGGAGGACTTATTTTTCTCCTCCCCCACCCCCCCACCCCTCAGCTTTGTTTTGCCCCCATTTGAAGTGTTTCACGGGGCTTTTAAGTCCACGGGAGCACTGAGTCATTGTCAGTTCAGATGTTCTGAAGAACTGCAGGTACAGGTCTCC